ATTTAGACTTTCAAGTCAAGGACTTGGTGTTGGGCCTTGGCCCAATAAAGTGAATGGACTAAACAAGGAATGTGGACACTTAGTCAAGGGAGTTATGTTGGTATTAACCTAGTGATTATTATGTATCAGTTTGGGATTTCCGGTGAGACAGTAGTCACCACTAGCAAGGTGAGTTATCCTCACTATATCAACAGGGTCTAAGGCACCAAGGCCGACCCTTTATGGATTTGTATCCGGATTATTATAGGATATGTTCTGCATACTGGTAGTTAGGATAGTGATATGTTTATGCTTAGTGACCTGGTTTGGTCGGTATCCTGGTTATAAGTTATGTTATGTTAGTGACCAATGTAGGTCGGTGTCCTGGTTTAGGATGTTGCTATGCTATTTGATCTACTAGATCGGTTTGACTGTTATTGTGATAATATTATATATATGTGCACATGTTGTTTGATTGGGGGTTGGATTGAGGCAGTCATGCTTTGTGCGGAAGGCCAACATACCCAGGGTGCACCAGATAGACTACTAACCCAAAAAGGGGCATGGTAGTCAGACCGAAGGCCCGACGAGCGGTACGAATAGGCTGAAGGCCCTGAGAGGTGGTCTAGCTGTGCCGAAGGCTCGAAGAGCGGTCCAGGTAGACTGAAGGCTTGCGAGGCGGTCCAATCAGGCTGTAGGCTCATGATGTATGCTAATATATATATATATATATATATATATATATGTGTATATATATATATATATATATATATATATATATATATATATATAGTTAAAGTTGTTGACATGATATGATTATGGTTATATGAGGATGATATTTTGGGGGTAGCTCACTAAGCTTTCGGGCTTACAGTTTCAGTTATTGTTTCAGGTACCTCGGATGATCACGGAAAGGCGAAGGCATGATCGTACCGCTGCTCCTGCTGTCATGGATTTTATGTTTTGAAACTGGGACACTGTGATAATTATTATTTGGAAACAAACTATGTAATGATTAATGGTTTTAATTGTTTTGAAAAAGTTTAAAATTGGCTTGAAATTTTGGGCGTTACAGCTTTTCTTCAGATCTAGACTGTATATGTATTTTTATGCTTTGAAAGTAATGATGAAAGATTTTAACTTTGTTTTTCAGATCTAGACCTTTTTCTTCAGATCTGAACCGCATATGTATTTTCTTCACGGATCTAAACTATTTCTTCAGATCTAGACTGTATATGTATTTTAATGGTTTGAAAGATCTAAACTTTTTTTCTTTTCAGATCTAGACCTTTTTCTTCAGATCTGAACCGTATATGTATTTCCTTACAGATCTAAACTATTTCTTTAGATCTGAACTGTATATGTATTTTACATCTACAAATATGTTGGGTAAAACATGAGTAGATGAAATAGTTGGTGTGTAATGAAAGATGAGAGGATGAGATAAAAGCGTGATATAGATTATGAGATGAGGATGGGAGGTGAAAAATGAGAGAAATCTTTTCCCAAACGATGACCCCGTCATCTAGCAGAGTACGGATGACAACCATGGACTATTCTAGACAGTCTGTGGAACACTAGCAGGTCGCTACCTGTAGGTGTTGTGAACAATACGTTCACCCGATGTACTCTAAAAACCCATTGACATGTATTGCAGGTGGACTCCTACAAATAATACTATCGATAAATTAGAGCTATGGACTTAGCACCCGTTGGATGAACCTTGGCAGCTATGAATTTAGTGTCTGTTGTATAAACCTTGGCGACGATGGACTTCATGCCTATTCCTTAGGAAAACCCATAGAAATGAGTGATGGATGATTTTTAGGGTAGATCCCTAAGAATTAAAGAAGATAATGGGGATGGTTAATTAGGTTAGTTGTTTGATGATAATACATTATAATTTTATTGTGGGTTGAAAACCCTATGTACTCACCAGGTTTCCCAACCTGACCCACTCAGTTTATTTGTATCACAAGTATCGATATAAAGCTACACTTTACTGAGGGATTAAAGAGATGTAGATCACTAGTGTAAATGAATGTAAGTTCTGTTTATGCTTATGTTTCTATATTGACGTTGACATCCCAAGGTTTTAAAAAGAATTAAAATACATTTCTTCGGAAATTCTTTGATAATATATTTATCATGTTTTTCTAGAAACAAAATTCCGCAACACTTTTCTTAAGAAGTAACTTGGATTTTTATTTAAAAAAAATAAACTAAATCGGTCTTTTCTGGCCGTAAAAATGAGGATGTCACATTAGGGTTTGAAACTGTAACTAGTGGTAATGTAAATTGATGTAATAGATTAGATTATAACGAATTTGGTAGTATGATATGCTTAATTCATTGGTTTGGTTGGATTTAGAAGTAGAAAATGAAATGATAGAATTATGATTCATTAAATGGTCATTTTGACCATAAGAGTCATTAAGCTCTTAATAAGCTATGACAAGTTTTAAGGAACTTGACATGTTGTATAAATAAGCCTTGAGCAACAGGATGGATCGAAATGCATCAATTCAAGAGATGAGCCAAATGTTAGTTAGTTTTGACTAACTAACAAGGTGTGTTATTGTAATGACTTAAAATTTCCATCCATCAACAAGGTTAGTTTCCGTTACTTAAATATTAATTTCGTTAGTGATTTCGGTTTTTACAATTATAAATTCAATAAATTAAAATAAAATGGTGTTAATTTATACCTAAAATTTTAATGTGGGGGTATTTAAGATAATTTATAATCGTTAAAAGGTTTAATTGGAATAGAGGGGCCAATGTATCATTAAAGGAAACTTGAACTGTTATCTTATTAGGGTTAAGGGTGTTTGGAGTTTACTTATGACACTTGAGGGACCTAATTGAAAAATAAAAAAAAAAATTCGAATTGACGTTATTACTTATTAAGAGCAATCATGGATTTGTTCGTTCTTTTTGTCACATTTGCATTTAGAGGCTGACACAAATTGATAGATCCATGAATCCTGTTCTTGTGTGTGTGTGTGTGTGCGCGCGACGATAGAAAAAACAAACAAACAAACAAAACAAAACAAAAAAACAAAGAAGAAGAAGAATCAATCGTAAAAAGGGAAAGAAACAACGTTGTTCATTGATGCAAAGGGAGGAGGGGTCTTCGTTTTCTTTTAGATTGCTATTTGGGGCGAATTTTAGCAATCTATTAGTAAATTTTCTAAATTTCTTTCTTCCTCAGGGTTTATGTTTGAATTGGTTGAGTTGTGGTATCAAATTTCTTCCTCTTTGGTGTTATTGATCATACCTTATTTCTCTTTACAATCTTTGAGGTATCGTGTGATTAACCTCCAAATTTATTGGGTGTATTTTGATGGTTTATGGTTGTTAAAATCTTGTTAAGAACACTCTAAAAATGTTATTAGTCATGTCAATGAATAGCTCAAAGTTTTGGAATCAATGTTTTCTTTTGTTGCTAGAATTCTTGTTTTTTATTATCTCAATTCTACTGATTTCATGTGTGATGCTTTTTTTTCCCTGCATAAAGACCATGTTTTGAACCATCCAAAAGATTTTCAAAACAGTCCCTAAATGTATTTATATGTGGCTTAATGGTGGAGGAAACTCAAACCCCAAATTGGGTAATTTAGTTAATAGAAAAAAAAAAATTAGAATGCTATAACAAAAAGTAAATGGAAACTTACATTGTTATTTCTTTCCTTTATCCTTTATTAAGATTATGTTAATTATTTCTTTTTTAAAATTATTATTTTGTTATACGATTAGTAATTTATTCTTTACATAATATCTAAAAACTAGAGGAACAAAATGAATTTAAATAATGTATTTGCTGATGATGAATCGGTAAAAACAATTGTTTCAATGAAAGATGAGTTTCATTGAGACGTTTGAACCGTTAGAAACCTGTTTTAGTATAAAAAGTCTAATGGATTTCTTATTTTGATTTAGGGTTAGACATGTAGGCCTACACTTACATGATCGCACAACATAAAGCCATACTCAACTCCATCGACAATCTCTTCCGCTAATAGTTCAACCACCTATCTTTCTAGTTGCCACAACACACCATTGATGCTCCTCCACTAGGGATACACCTTGTGACAAATATAAATCAAGATTTTTACATCTAGGTCATCCATACGACCAAGAAAGAATTTAGAGAGAGTACGAAAAGAAATCACATTCTATATTAATCAAATCAAGATATTTAAATTTAGGTCTTCCATTGGGAATTCACACTGTGGCAAATATAAATCAAGATATTTACATCTAGGTCATCCATATGACCAAAAAAGAATAGAGTAAATTACTTAAATCGTCCCTATGATTTGGTTAAAATTGCACGTTTGGTCCCTAACTTTTTTTTTGTACTCGGATCATCCATGTGGTTTGATTTTGTTGCATTTTTCGTCCATGTGGTTTGATTTTGTTGCGTTTTTCGTCCCTTACATATATAAAGTAAGGGACCAAACATTCAATTTTTAACCAAACCACAGGGACGAAAAATATAACAAAATAAAACCAGAAGAACGATCCGAATACAAAATAAAAATTAGAAACCAAATATACAATTTTAACCAAACTATAGGAACAATTTCAGTAATTTACTCTAGAGAATATATAGAGTACGAAAGAAAGAAATGTGAACCACATTCTATATAAATCAAATCAAAGGTATTTTCATTTAGGTCATCCGAATTCCAGATTTTGTACAATCAAGTCACTGCTAAGCTCGACTTGGCCTTCCAACCCAACACTTCTAATATTTACACAATTTTAACCCAACTATGGATAAACATTCAAGTTAGTCCATCTTTTAACATTATCTTGGTAGTTTAATTTGGACACTTTAACTTTAAATTCTTAGTATTTATACTTAAACATTTTTATAATTTTAAAAATAATTTTCAAATTCTAATTCTAATAAAAATCAAGAGAATAAATCTATAGCCATAGAAATAAGTAATCTCTTTGACATGTGTCTGCATATTACAAAATCAAACAAGAGTGTCTCTCTCTGTGTGTGTGTGTGTTAATTTCTTCCGATAATCTGGAACGAGTGGTGATGCTTGCTCACGTCTCCTTCAGCCCTCAAAAGATCTTCTAAAGCATAAATACACACAGATGTATATATAGGTTTTCGACGATGTCGTATAGGCTTTCCGCTTTCCTTCATCCATTGCAAATTCTACTCTGAATTAATCGAAATTGGAGATGACGACCGCGATGCAATCTCTGTCGGCGACGTCCTCTTACTCCGTCGGCTTTGGCTTCCCCCCTAATTTCACTACTCCTCAAACGCGCCTCCATCGTCGTGCTGTCGTAATCGCGAAAGGTAGTACAACATCCCCTCTCAGATGTTCACTGAACTTATGTTTATTTGCGAAGTTCCGTGGTTTCTGTATCGAAGCTCTTGTTGAGCTTTTATTCCTGTAGTTCAATCGATCCTGGTGTTAGTACTTGAATCGCAAAATTATGTGATCTATTTCATTGATGCTGCTTAGAATATCATGAGCTCAAATTGTTCGATCGATGATATGGTTATTTGTGCAAGGCACTCTCAGTGTTCAATTTACTCATTTACTGAACTTAATTACGAGTTAAAACCCTAGACACGAGTTTCTGAATTCTTGTTCCTGTGGTTTGATCTATGCTTCTATATTCCTGTTTGCTAAGCTGTGTGTTTGTTTGTTTGTTTATTTCAGCTGATGAGCCATCAGATAAGTCTGTTGAGATTATGCGTAAATTCTCAGAGCAGTATGCTCGTAAATCTGACACGTTTTTTTGCGTTGACAAAGGTGTTACTTCTGTAGTTATCAAGGTATACTCCTTCATCTTGGGCCCTGTTTGTTTGTTATACATGACATGATAACATGAAAGCAATTACTTTGGTGGATACAGGGGTTGGCAGATCATAGAGATACATTGGGTGCACCACTTTGTCCTTGTAGGCAAGTGTATTTCAAATCTTTGGAAATTTTGCTTTTGATTTTGTAAAATGTAAATGGAGTCTTATAAATCATATAATTTGCTACTTGCTAAAAAAAACAGGCACTATGATGACAAAGCTGCAGAAGCAAGTCAAGGCTTTTGGAATTGCCCTTGTGTACCCATGAGAGAAAGGTAAAAATCCCTTCATTTGTAAGCACTTACATTTACATGATTTAAGCTTTTTTAATGATATGAAACTTAATTATAATGATCATTGATTTAATTCTAGATATAATATATCATTGATTATTTCATTATTTGTTTGTAAATTCTTAGGAAGGAGTGCCATTGCATGCTTTTTCTCACGCCTGATAACGATTTTGCTGGCGACGAACAGGTTAAATTACAATCTTAAATGTCATTTTGACAAACTTATGCATCAAAATTTCACTTTTTTTTTTCACCAATTTATATTTTATATATCGGTGTTTCATTTTAACAATCTTTGGTCCTAAAATAAAAATAGTTGCATATTTCGAAAAAAAACGAAAATCATAAATTTCATTATGAACCCTATCTCATGTGATTTTTGGAATTTGGATGATGCAGGCTATTTCCTTGGAAGAAATCAAAGAATTGACAGCAAACATGTAGTTGCCCAATTTTTTTTTCCAAACAAAACAAGCAATCGTTCATGTATATTTATATGTTAAATGTTAAATGATTATATATCATATTATATCATCAATCTTCAGTCTAGTTGTGTATTTGATCTCTTTTCTTTAGCTTATCTTCCAGGAAAACAATAAACAAAAACACAAACGAAAACGTTTTAAAGATAAAAACTATAACAATACAATATTATTATCAACAAATTCAATAAGCTTTAACAGATGTAGAAGGTGTAGAAGCCGATGAAGAAGAACCACCAGTTTTCTTCGTACAATCTTTCCCCATTCTCGAAGCCAAAGCAACCAAAAACGGCCGTGCACCACCACCACCGCCGGCAGCAGCAGCCGCCGCCGGCGAGTTGTGACTTTTGCAGGCGTGATCGGATTGGAACCGGTGCTTCAAACAGAATTTTACGTCGCAAGACCTGCAAGTACTCGTGTTTGAAAAGGTAAGAATCTCTTTACACCGCCTAACACCACACGTGGGTTTCTTCTTCTTCTTCGCATCACAATCTCCAGATTTCCGATGCTTTTCCAAAATCAAAACGTTCTCATCTTCTCCTCCTTTTCTGCTTAACGGAATCTCCATCGACATCGAACATGTTTCGCATACCAATACTTTTCTACTGTTGTAATCCGAGTTTGAACATTCGTGTGACTTGTACGATCGATGTTCAACGCAAAAAACCTGCAACAGAAAATCGAAATTGATAGATTACAATCGAGATTCCATGAACAGAAAAAAGAGAATCGATTGAAGATTTCATGAACTTACCTTTTCACAGCCATCGCATTTGAATGGGAGAAAATCGAGCTGATTGCAATCGGGAAGCTGACAGTGCTTGCCTAAATCGGGAAAAGCTTCTGTTCCTGCCATGGTATTATGGTATTCTCTTGATCTCAAGAACAATTTAATGGTTGAAGAAAGTGAAATAGATAAATTGTGATTTTGTTTGTGCATTGGGGATTTTTGGGGGGAGTATATATAGCTTTGGTTTTGACTTGGGGCGTAAGCCATGAAAGCGTATACACGTCTGCTTGAAAAGCTTCTGGGTTCTTCTTTTTGACTTTTTATGAAAACCGATGAAGGATTTGGGTCTTTGGGCCCCACATAACAGGTTGTGGACTCTTCGTGGGCCTTTACATTCAGTTTAATGGACTGGGTAATACTTATCTTTTGGGCCCTCCGTGTGCTAGAATATAATCTAGATACAAGTTAATGAGTTACTCAGAAATAATCCAACTGGTTATATAGTATAAAAATGGAATTGTGTTTTATTTGTTTTATTTTTGTGTGATTAATATATTTCTTCTACTTTTCCCTTCATTGCAACTGGGCCCAAATTTAACCCAACAACCAAAATCCCAAAAGGCAGTGCTTAAGATTTTCTCAAGTAACTTTATTTTGATTGTAGCTTCTTTTTAAAACCTTTTACTATTTGAAAAGTTGATTTGGTAATTTTTATCGTTATCACTTTGTAATTCCAATTATTTACTTTTATATGTTTTTGTCTATTTTGATATTTATATATAATAATATTTTGTTATATTTAATTATTAAAATTTTATTAGCTTTTATTAGTTAACCTATTCAACTAAATATATAAAATAGAATTGAATGTATTTTTTTACAAATATATATCTTAAAAAATAGTTGTTAAAACTTTCAATGGAAAATGTGAAAGATTAAAAAACATTAAGGCCGTGTAGTATTTTTATAATTATACATCATCACAGAAAGCTATATTTTAAAAAAATTTAATGTATATTTGAAGATGACAAATTATATAAGATTTTATATAACATATAAGAAAAATAAAAATATTTTAAAAAGTATTAAAAAGATTAATTATTGATGTGATAAAATATAATTTATCTTATATTATTATCTATAGAAAGTAAACTATGAGTTGCAACAACTTTTTAAATAAGCCTTCACCTATTATTCACCATCATTTCTATACGGAATATAGTAAGAGTTATATGATGATTTATTTCAAGGTTATCAAAATCGTAATTTTGATCATAGGATTTTACGATCCTAGTTATGAAAAACGAATCAGATCATATATTGCTCGTATCTGGGGTAGGTTCGCAAGTAAGATCACAAGATCGTAAAATTGAGATTTAATCCGATTCCACCATTCCTTGAATTTTTTTTTTCAAAAAAAAAAAGTAAAAAAAATGAATTTACCACTTTACGATACAAACTCTTTACCGGTTTACTGTTTACCTTTTTTGTTGCGACTAATATTTTTAAGTTTTTACATTCTTTGAACTAAAAACTGAATGTTTGAGGTTTTGAACTTATAAGTTAAAATCATATTTTTTTATGTGATCTTAGGATCTCAATTTCGATATTGTCAACAAAAAAAACAGGCATATATAAGATCCCTATCTTGACAACTTTGATTTATTCGATTAAGAGGTTTATTCAAATTCAAAACAAAACAGTCGTCTTTATATATATTATATGTTTTATTCAGACATTATTATACATTCAACAAATTTATCTGTACATGATTTAATATTAATAAGAAAACCCATGAGTCAACTATTATGTACATTTTAACTCGCTACAATTCAAGGGATCTTCGAAACATTCATGCAACGTTTTTCTATGTAGGTTAAACGTTGAGGTGGACAAATTCCAACTCGTTGAAAATAGATTTGTTAAAAAGCAAATAAACTAAAATTACAAATTAAAATAGATATTGTAGGTTCCAAGAAGACGTGTTTTGTGACTTTTAGCAAAAACAAAAGGAAAAGTTGCCCAATTGTAAAGACAAGGAATAATACGCTTTCCTTTCTATAAAGCTCTAAAAGCATACTCCATCCCATATTTTTTTTTTGAATTATTTCATTTTCTAACCATGTCCCACAAAATGTCTAATGACATCGTCAACTTGTTAATGGCCCACCTTCCGCTCCAAAAGATGATCCGGTAAAATTGGCGGGTACTCGAGTAGGATGAATCGAGTAATAAGTTGAAATGAGTCACTTTTAGTAGAATTAAATAATGATTCGTTTATTATTGATGCTACATTCGTCCTTCGAAGTCCTTCAATGTTAAGATCGGTGATCTTCTAATTCGGATTAACCATATCACCTTGAGATAAAACAAAATAGATCAGAGCACTTCAAAAATGGTCATAGAATTACTCTCCAAAGCCAAAGCCAGAAGTAGAGAAAGTTTGGTAAGGATGTAATAGTGTTTGAGTGGTAAAAAACATTTGTGTGTTAGTAGATTGTGAAGCTTTTGTTGTGGTGTGTATCATTTTAAACAGTTTTTAACGGTGAAGAGCTTGTGACATAATTATAAGATGTGGCACGAATAGTGCGTCTTGTAGCCGACTTCGTACTTGACTTGGCATGAGTTTAATGTGTATGTTTTTGTTATTTAGCTAGATTTATGGTTTTCTTATGCTTGTTCTCCTTCTGTTTTTCAACACTCCCTTCTCATGTAAAAATTATGGCTTCAAAGCGTTTTTGTGAAGTTGTTTATTCGATAACTCCTATGAAACAGTCAGAGATCGATCAAGAGTTTAATCTAGTTCCTAGTGATGGTGCTAAGGCTACGAAGTCTAATTCTTCTTCTGTCCAACCAATTCTTTGAAATATCATTTGCATGTTATATCGCTGGATGTAGGTTTGTGTTTGTCATGTACTAAATTTTGTGGCACTATTATTACTTGTACGGGTTTTTTTGTCAATGTTATTACTTGCACTATATCTATCATGTATAACTTAAGCCATATGTTGTCTTTTAAGTTAAACCAAATTTGAACTCTTGTGCCTTTCCTTGGAGGTACCTCTTGATATGCATCTTTTCCATCGTGATTATTGTATTACTAGTAGTAGAGATTGGTATACATTCTCCGCGAGTAATGTCACGGGTTTGTGGGCTTCTGCAAATTTAATTAAGAACTAGAAATATAAGTTCTTCTAGGGTGCACATATTTCCTTGTTTGCTAATGATCTACACAATCTACTCGATAAAATTCGAGATCTTCCCCCATTATTTTGGAGAGTATAAGAAAGTGGATTAGGAACATGAAGAGTCATGGCATGAAGGTTCACACATCTCTTGAGTTGCTTCAGATTGCTTCTATGAAGGTGTGTGTGGGCTTCATAATCTGAGTATTAATTTTGTATGGTGGGGGAAGAAGGTGAGTCTAGTTTTTTTCTTTTATAATAAAATTCCTCATTTATAAGATATTCCTTTTAGGTACTTTTTTTTTTACCTTATTTATGGATTCGTTTGTTCGTAGACTATCATCACATAGCAATTGCTTTATTGCAATTTATAGAAAGTAAGTTTCCTAGGGAGCATTAAAATGGAGTAACTTTGATCCGACCTTGTTAATCAAGGTGAGCCTCTTGTTGAATAGTCGTTAGATGTTACCAGTTATAAAAGGAATTGCTGATGACTTTGATCCTGAACATAATGAGTTTGAGGATAAGGATGAGGGGATCAATTTTAGTCATATCAATGAACTTTAGATGATGAAAGAAATTTTGATGTTTCCTTTCATGTTTAGGTTAGTTCTACATGTTGAATTTATATATTTAATAATCATTATTGAGTGATGTTGCTAATAATATATGATCTTATAAGGTCACATCTTTATCAAGTTGATATGTTTTGTATATTTATTATTAATATAATTATTAATAAATAATATTAATTCTTGTATTTAATTAGGGAATAACTATTGTTTTGTGAAAATAATAATTATAAGAGAGTATAATTAGTTATTATTTCATATGATATAAATTAATAAATCATGCACAACCTTTTGGACTAGTTGAATTTTATTTTTCTTTTTCCTAAAGATAAAGTTTATATTTTATAAACTTTGAGTTTATAAAAATTAAAGAGTTATTCCTCTTTTGAGAGGTATGGCCGGAAGATGACTTAATCACTTGATACCATAATCCCAACCATGAGCTTCTACTCTTTGTTTTAGGCTTAATTATAGTCTTAATGGTTTAAGTACAACAACTTTTACAACATGAAGATTTGAAGTTCATTTGCAAGCAATAGTTGACTTGGCAAGTGGGAGCTTGAAGACCTTTTGAAGTGTCCGTTAAGTCCTCTAGGAAGGACTTAATAATTCTTATGATGACTCATAAAAATTATTATTAGACTTGAATTGGTTTATACACATTAAAATGCATGCATGTGATGTTTATTTTTATGTTATTGTATGTTATGTTTTATGTATGAAAATGAGTTTTACATGTCAAACAATATTTTATCATAAGATAATATCACTTGGATTTTGAATAAAAATATTAAAAAAATAACATAAGATGTTTATAAATGAATATTCATAAAAACGTTTTTACCGGTTACAGGTTAAAAATCGATTTTTTTGTTAAAAATAGTTTTATTATAAAACTTATAAATAACTAAATTTAAAATATTTGAAATGGTTTAAAAGATGTTTAAACATTATATAAACTCCATGTCTTTATAATAAATAATGAGTTTCTATTAAAAAGACTAAAATTGGTTTATAGCGTTATAACGGCAAATAATAAAACTAATGATTATTTTTTTCATCGAAACTTAATATATGATATCGGCGTTTTAAACATAATTTAACATGTTGATATTATGTTTTATGCACCCAAGTTTTGATTTACCAAAATATAACATTTATTATAAGATGCATAAAATTGAATTTATAAAATAAATGGGTTTATTCTACAAATTCATGAAGTCATGAGATTTTGATTATTAAAATAAGATTTAAAATTCTAATTTTAAAACTCACCAAAAACTTCAAGTCTTAAATATAAAATAAAGTTTTATTAAGACTATTATTGGTTCTTGAATCCATTTATGACTAAATTTTAAAACACTAGATTTTAGTTTATAATTGATCGCGACTAATGACAAATAAAATGAAGCTTTATTTGACACCTAAAGAACCTCATAAAAAGTAATATTAATTTTACAAAAAGGTACATGAATTTTTGGATGCATGCAATATTCATGTGACCATAATTTTATAACTATAATTATAAAACATATATAAAATATTTTCTTAAAAATGTAAGTCATTGTCGTCCTTTTGAAGAACACTCGCTATCATTTGTGTGGTCTTAGTGGCATAGGGTCACTCGGTCATTAGGATTCTCTTATGATGTTCGGGGTACTTTTGTAGTTTTTGGTGTCTAAATGGTCACCTTGTTACTGGTTAGTTGCAATATTATGAGTTGTTTCAAGTAGGACGACTTGATCGGATAATACACTCTTGTGTAATAAATGTC